ATGGGTTTTAACGGCAAATGGGAAAAATGAGGCACAAGAGACATGGTTTACTGTCACAAGACGCCACAAAGAGGAATGGGTCAGACCCTTCCAGGCAGGCAAAAACAAGCTCTGATTCTCAAATTGGGATCTGCAGAGTCCCAGAGGACCAGCATTCTCCACAGGAATGTCCACATTGTTTTCCATTGTATAATTTTTTCATTGAGGGTAAAATATACATATAGTGAGACACACAAGCCTTATGTGTACAACTGCATAAACCAGACAACTGTATGCACCTGGGATACTCCACCAAGACAGACCACTGCCGCCACCCTCCAGGGTTCTCTCCTGCACCTTCAGAGTCATCACCCATGCACGCGGCTCCCACCATTCTGATTTCTATCACCGCTACCTTCAATCCTTTAATAATGACCCTAAGTGTATCCTGGAGGGCTAACTTTTACCCTACTCACCAGTGCTCTGCTTCTTCAGGACCCATGTTTCTTACCACCAAGTTATGCAGGGAAGCATCCATTCCCAACAGGGCAGGCATGACCCCCAGAAGAGCATTTCAGAAACTGTGGGGAAGCGGACACTTTGGGGGATCACAGTGCATTTGGTGAGTGTTGGGGGCCATGGATGCTAGACATCTGGAGTAGCACGAGGCAGTTCTGCTCAGAGAAGCCTTGTTTCCAAGTCCCACATGACCACAGATGTCCCACAGACATTCATGCCAACACTTATATAGTTTAGCTTATAAATCAATCCATATTTATATAAAATGTATACTGTTGTGTTCTATCATCAAGGATGCATAAAATAAGAAGATAATGTAAAAATTGCCGAAGAGTTTTCAGGAGTTGCTAAGAAATCTGGTATCAGTGATCACAAAGATTCAAAACCATGAGACTGGTGATTTCAACTAAGGCTCGTGAGGTTTAACAGCAAAAGGGAAAAAATGAGGCACAAAAGACAAGGTTACTGTCACAAGATGCCACAAACAATAATGGGTCAGATCTTTCCAGGCAGGGAAATACAAGCTTTGATTCTCAAGTTGGGATCTGCAGAGTCCCAGACCCCAGATACTGCTGGCATAATTTCCATACATACTAAATTTTTTAGGAATGCCACTACTGTGAAGTTAAGAAAAGACTGACCTTTGACTACCATTCAGACCTCGACCAAGGTCATCACTTCATCACTTCCAAGGACTCTGAGCTGTCCCATGCTACCACAGAGTGAGTCTGCATAAAGCACTGGGGAACTTTACTAGTTTCTAGTTAGTCTCAGTCCAAGCATCTACATGCTGAAGTGCATACTTTTTTTTTTTTAATTTTTTATTGTTGGTTGTTCAAAACATTACATAGTTCTTGATATATCATATTTCACACGTTGATTCAAGTGGGTTGTGAACTCTCATTTTTACCCCGTATACAGAATGACAGTAGAGGGGGTAGAGAGAGAAGAGGGGAGGGGAGGGGAGGGGAGGGGAGGGGGGATAGTAGAGGATAGGAAAGGCAGCAGAATACAACAGACACTAGTATGGCACTATGTAAATCAATGGATGTGTAACTGATGTGATTCTGCATACTTTTAATGCAAATTGCTTTTATTTCTTCTTTACATGTAGGTATTTACCCATTTGTAAAAATTACAGTAGAGGTAAGTTTTACATATCATTTCACAATTGTTGATGGGTGTTAAAAATATTTGCATTAAGAGGAGGGTGTTGGGTTTTCAATGAGGTAAGAAACACTGACGGGAAGTGACAACATCTAACTTTTCACTTAACTCTTGTGCAGGAGGCATTACTGTACTTCTAGGTGTCCAGAAGTTCCTCAATTTGGAAAGCCAGATGAGCAGAGACCAGGCTGGACAGACCCTCCCTGTTAACACCCAGCCAAATCATGATTATGGAACTGAGCTTTCCAGGCAGACCATTTCAAGAGGAGGCCTGACAGACATGATTACTGTATGTGTGAATGTGACTGTATGACCAATGTGATTTTACAATATGTACACTCAGAAAAATGAGAAATTATATCCCATCTATGTATGGTACATCAAAGTATATAAGTGCATTCTACTGTCATGTATAATTAAAACAAATTTTTAAAATAAATAAATAAAGATACTATGTGTTTAAAAAAAAAAAGATGGCCTGAAATTTGCTCTTCTCGCCTCTTTAATGAAAATCTTCAAGAAAAAGTTTCTACTTGACTTTGTACCAAGAATGCTTTTATTTCTCCCAAACATTTTCCTTTTATCTTGAAAACACTGACAGCTGAGACCTTCCAAATTCCTACTGCCTGCAAGAAAGCATATTTACCTCCTTAATCTTTTCTACATATGAGAAGAACCTGCAGGGTTTCCAAAATACCAGTGCCTGATGCAGCCTGATGCAGATCCTGCTTGGCTTCCAATCCTGCATGTCATGGAGTGTCTCTGGCAATACTGAGGTAGGTACATGCAGGACTGAGACACAGACTTACCTCGGCAGCCCCACTTGGAATACTTTACGTGCAACTAAGTCAGCAAGGTGTGCATGTTACATTTCTAGCCTGATTTCAGGCTCCACTTCATCTCCACTCTTGTTTCTCTTTCATCCTATTTTTAATCTATGGCAACTTGTAAATCCTTCCTAAAACAGGTGGAGATGGAAAAGTGTCCCCATTACTCTGCCACATGTGTGCCTATGGTGCAATATGCATGAAGAGGAGACAGCACAGAATTCAAAGGTATGCTGGTGAGCAGAGATCTTGAAGAAGCCCAGCCCCTTTCAACACTCAATGAGATCACTTGGTGCCAGGGTCCCACTGCACGCTCCCAGGGGCTGAGTGTGCCCAGGAGACCACCGCAGCATTTTCTGTGGTCATGACAGGCACTCAGAGAACAAAGCTGCTGGTGCTGCAGATCCTCATGCCACTCCACCAGCCCACCTGATAACCACAAAGAGGAAAACGCAAACCAAGCACCAGCTCTGTGGGGCTGGGTCACAGCCAATGAGACAAAGGTGCCCCTGATGACTTCTCCCCTTTGAAGTGGCAAATTCATAATGGATCCTGTGTTGCTTAAGATGATGAGGATCTCTACAATTCCCCAACCCTGGTGCTATGGTAGTTTCCCTGCAGTGGTAAGTGCTTCCCCTTTGTCAAATGAGATCCTCCCTCTACGGAGTCTTGGTTGCAGGTGACAGACACATATCTACCACCTACAGATATTTTCCAATGGCGTGTTTTCATCTGTCCTAGTCCACATACACAAGCAAAACATGGGATACATCTTGGCACCATTTTTGATCCTTAGGGAACCACAGAGCTCTATCTGTGACCACCTCCTCACCCTCTAGCTGGAGATGCTGTATAGTGTCCCCTACATAGCCCAGGTACCCACACTCTGGGTAGAGAAGAAGATTTCAAAGAACCCCTTTCTGAAGAGAGACTCTGGATGTCCTATTACTTTCCAGGAGGACGTACATCCACCAGAGGACAGGAATTTTCATTTGTTCTTTTCCTTGTTTTAGTCCCAGAACTTGCTACAGTGCCTGACATAAAGAGGCATTCAATAAACATTTGTTGGATGTGAATTGGTGTTTTTCCAATGGTGAAGAATTTGCTCAAAAGTGTTATATGTTTCAGAACCCTAAAGAACATCTTGATGCCATATTACGATACACAGGGCACAGAGAAGCCCACTAGAAATGATTAGTTTGGTCCTGCCCTGCCAAGGTCACATGAGAATTCAGGTCAAACATCCTTTCTCTAACTGCATGGCAGCCTAGGAAGCAGTGACCATGGGGAGTTTTCCCTTCCAGTGAAGCAGAATGACAGCTCAAAGAGACTAAGTTGGGGTCCACCTCCCTTCCCCATCAAATCCACCCCAAAGGCACTATGTTTCTGCTTAGCCCAAAAGTTGGCACAGGGTCTGAATACAGAATGGTAAATGGCATATTAAATAGGATACTAATAAATTAGAGTGACTGAAAAGAGATGTCAATAGCTACTTAGTACATTCGGTGGGAAGAGATAACAAATGTCCCCAGCACCACCCTGACTCTCCTTAACTCATAGTCACAGAGTCCCATTTTACACAGAAGCCCAGTACTAAGCCAGTTCCCAGACATCACATTTCAATGATGGATGAACCTCAGCTCCCCTTTTCTCTATGCCATCAGTGGTCCAGTGCATGGGATCCCTTCTCAGTTCTTAGGATGTGGAGATAAAACCACAGGAATGTGCCCATCTGATGAGCATCCCAGGCCTCCAGGAAAACACTGAGACACTCGGATGCCACAAGTCCATGTTCCTCCTCAGTAGCCTCCCTCCCTCCTGGCAGTGCAGAGGAGAAAGCCCTGGCAGGCAGGGACTGCTAGGGGCCAACAGAGGGTAATACAGAAGACACAGGAGTTTGAAGACCACAGATGGTAGGCTCCTTCCGGATGCCAGAGCCCCAACAAGTTAATCACCTCTCTAAGCTTCTGCTTTCTCCACTGTAAAACAAGGATGATCGCCCAACCTTCTCTACAAAACCACTGGGAGGATAAAAGGACAGTAATATAAAGGCCATATAAACTCTGAAGTGCTGGGCACCCTTGTTATAAACAATGAGTGTCTGCTTACCGTCTACTTATTTGTAGCTACCTTGCCCAGGATCTTCTTTTATCTGGGGAGGACAAGTTGCCCCACCCAGTGCATTTAGAGCATTCACCCCTTATCTTGCTCACTGACTGACGTCTGATCCTAAACCCCTCCTCCAATACCAGTTGAACTTGACCAGATCACAGCACCTGGAAGCAATTTACAAATCCCCACCTAAAACAAACTTCAAGAAGGATCGGTGGGTTCCCAAAAGCATTCGAATTTACTCCTGCTTCACACAGGAAACACACACACACACACATTTAACCATCATCACCTTCTTACACAACAGACTTTCACAACCAAGGTAAGGACACCAGTATCAAGGCTACTGTCCCCGCCACCCCGATCTACCCCCAGGGCTCTCCTGGTCTCTCCTACCTGGGCCTGCCGCCGTGCCTCGTGCTGGGATCGCAGTCGTGGATGGGATCGGGCCGAGCCCAGCTAAATCAGAGCCCTGGGAGCCGCGCGAGGGGTGCTCCGGGGCGCGGACGCCTGGCGGTCACATTCCTGCCGCTCCGGGGGGCGCACGGGGCAGGCCGGCGCCTCCACCGCCCCAGCCCGGCCGCACTCCGGCTCCTCCCGGCCGGGGTGCTACAAGTGGGCTCCGGGCGCTGGGCGAGAGCTCCGCCCGTCCTCCGGGCCTGGAACCGCGGGCGCGGCTCCAATTCCAGCCCAGCGGTCGCGGGGGCGTGGAGTGGGCGGAGACTTCTCGGTCGCAACCCGGGCGGCTTCTAGTCTTGGGGAGCAGCAGAGGCTGGACAGCCCCTTCCGCACGTTCCCCTGCCCCGGGATTCCTTGGTGGTCCCCGCGCCCCTGCCGGGGTTCCGCGGGTGCCAGGGCCTTGGAGAGCTGCTGCGCACTCCCAAACCTCCGCCCTGCTCCTGGATGGCCACGGGCAGGGGGTCCCACAAAGTTAAAATTGACAACTTACCTAGCCATCGCGACCACACTCTACCACCAATGTGAACTGAGCTAGCGACTGGTTGATCCCGAGGCGAACGCTCAGGTTTCGGTGCTCTGAGTGGCTTCAGAGTCTGGAACCTGGTCAGGTTTCTGGGACTGGTTTTGTGAACTTGGGAGTAGTCACCGCATTTTTGTATCGCGGTTGCCTTTTCTGTGAAAAGGGATCGTAACAGCCCCCATCTTGTGGAGTGGTTGGAGAGATAAAATGGGCTAATACCTAGAAAGCAGTGCCAGGCACATAATCGAAAATACGCAAGCGTTATCTGCTGGCTTTATTGTTATTGTTAGGAACCCTATAATCTAGCTATGATCTAGATGTCAGAATGAGTACTCTTCTAAACTTCTCACTCCCGCCAGCTCACTTTGCAAATGAGAATTCACACCGAGAAAACTGCAAGAAGTCTTTCAGGACTGCGTGGGGGAGGGGAGGACACTGGGGGAGCGGGGACAGTGCCTAGCCCATCAGCGGGGGAGCTTGAAACCTGCTCAACTTCCATTCTGCATGCCTCCAGCAAGTGTCTGGACCCTCCGGCTTCTCTCCAGGTCTTCTGGATCTTAATGGACCACTCTCCCATGAGACTGTTCAGTAAATGATTCCTTCCTTCCTTCCTTCCTTCCATACACACCACCCTTTCCTGCCTCCTTTCCAAACAGAACAGGTTCTTGTTTCCCTAGGTCATCTCTTGAAATACTCCTTCAGGAACCCAAGAAATGGACATAAGGAAACTTGCAGCCATAACTCATCATAAAAGCTGGCATGATGCCAATTGTTCATTTCTTTTTCTATTCCCATAAGTTTAGATGACTCGTTTTTCTGAAAAAAAAAAAAAGCAGGCTAAAATCTGGTAGTGACATAGTATTATGAAAATCCACTAATTGTCCCATTCCTCAGTATTCATCTAAATAGAGATGGTTCTCACATTCTTCACTGCACTCAGACCAAGCAGAACTGATACCTTCATGCCTAGATCAGTCATGTCAGAATTTCTGGGCCTGAGGTCTAAGTGTCAGTGTTTTTAAAGCTTCCTGGTGATTCCATTGCGCTGTCAGGGTTCCTTTCAGCTCCCACAGTGTTTCCGGTACACTGAATAGTCCATCTTGATTGGCACTTCAACAGGCATGGTCACATGGCTTCCTTAATGAAAACTAAAGTAGGTAGGCCTGGGTTGATGCCGCAAACCAACCCAGAAGCCCTAGGTTGGTAAACATGAACTTGCCTTACCATTTATGTAGTGAAAGATTTTTTATAAAATCAGTTTACAAGTAGAAAGTGAAATTAATTAGTGTAATAATCCAAAAATAAAAATTACATTTCTGCCAGGTACGGTGATGCCCTCCTGTAATCCTGGCAACTCAGGAGACTGAGGCAGAAGGATGGCAAGTGCAAGGCTAGCCTCAGCAATTCAGTGAGGCTTTAAGTAACTTAATGAGACCCTGTCTCAAAAAATAAAAAGGGTTGGGGATATGGCTCAGTGGTTGAACCCCTTGGTTCAATCCCCAGTACCAGGGGATAAAAAAAAGAACAAAAAATAAAAATTATACTTTTTCTTTTTTTTTTAAGCTAGGGTCTTGCTATGTTGCCCAGGCTACCATGGAACTCCCGGGCTCGAGGAACAAGTGTTCCTCCTACCTCAGCCTCTCCAGCATCTGGGATTACAGGCACATGCCATTGTACCCGGATTTCCTTTTTTTCAGGGTTGAACCCCCCCTTCCCCAAATATCCTGCTAGACATTCAGGCCTCTATACCCAGGTGGGACTCCTAAGTACCCACTCCAGTGACAGGATTTGAAGACCTCCCTTTCTCACCTTATAATGTTGAAGGTCTCATCTGGGATCTTGAAGCCACCTCCTCCCTCACAGAGCCATACCAGGCCCTTTCCCTGTCCTTCCCTTTGTTTCCTTCCCCAGACACCTGGTACAGGCACATGCCTCACTTCACCTCTGACCTGGAGTCCCGCCGAAGGGGACACCATCACCCCAATTTCACTCTCTGCGGTGCTCTCAGCTCCACACATTGTTCTGACACCTTGATATGCCACCCTCCTTAAGAGAGACCTCATCCCCTGAGGATTTTCAGCCCATCTCCCACCTGTCAGGCTGTTGGGTCCTGAGCACCTCTGTGGGAGGAGTCTCTAATAATACACCTGAAACAAAATCACACTGCCAAGTGCAACAGGATCTGATGCCTAGCAGCAGAGCTACCTGGGCCTAGGGGCAGGCTGCCCCACAAAGTCCAGGGCATCCCAGAGTGAAATAGCCAAGAGTCATCAAACCCTCCAAGGGGGGTTATGAAGGGCCAAGAGGATAAACCTCTGGAAGAATTCTTGCAATTGAGACAGTCAGGACAAACATGGTCTCAGCTGAAGTTTATAAGACCACAGGGTACCCTACACACCTGAATTCCTCCCCACAGACCAAGACAACCCCTTAATCACCTCTATCTCCCTCATCCTCACCACCCTCAAAGATAGGAGGGGAAAGAATTCTGAAGAGAGTGTGTCATTACCCCCAAAGACACTAAGCAGAAATGAAACGACTCTTAATCAATGAGATTTTTTGTTTCCACCACCAGATGGAAATGGGAGATCATAAGCAAAGTGGACTTCAGTTGCAGATAAATAAAGAAAATTACATCACACAGGGCCTCTATGATTCTTAACTAGCTACACCTATTTTTGCTATTTTGGGAGCTACCAGTAATCTCTCACAGAACCACAGTGCAGATCTAAAACCGCTGTCCCAGATGGATTTCCTTCTACAGCCCAGTTTTTCTGCTTCTCTCATAGTTTCCATCCACAGACCTCCAAACCACTACTTTCTCACCAACATCTGTCATGACCTCCTCTCCCTACAACTTCTCAGTTTAATCAGTTCTTCGTGGGTTTCTACAATCATCTTTCTAATCATCATCCAAATTCCTCTGATTTTTAAGCCCTTCACCAAACAGAAAGCCACAAGTGAAACAGAGATGAGAGCAGATCAGAAAGTGTAACATATGCCATGAGACTGTCGAGGCCATGGGTCATTTCTTAACCTCCTTTACAGGAGGAGGAGAAAAAGATGGCAGGGACAGACAGACCAGCTCTTTTGTTCTACTTCAGCTTTAATCTTGCTCAATTAAGGCAAGTGACTAAAAAAGGGGTTTTGCACCCATTTTGCATCCCCTATTAACACAGAAACAACACAGAGGCCGTAGACTTGGTAAATTCTTCTACACCTAGCAGAACCAGATTGTGGCCTCCCTATCTCTTATGCCAGCTGTCTCCTATTTGATGATTGCTGTAACATATAAAACTTAAAACACCAATAGCCCTTATCAGCTTTTCCCATGCTATCCAAGATAGCTATTGAAACTTTTTTGCTTGGACATATTCCAGACCTCTAATAAGAGCATGACGCTTCTTAAATCCATTAAATTTTTATTTTGAGACAGGGTCTCACTAGATTGTATACAGCCTCACTAAGTCGCTGAAACTGGCTTCGAAACTATGATTCTCCTGCCTTGGCCGCTGGTATTATAAACATGCACCACCAAACCCAGCAAATCCGTTTAAATTTAATACTCCTTTCCTTGTAATTCTAGATAGTCTTACCATCTTTGGGCCTCTGCAATTTTCTGTAGGTGGTCTCTAAGTTTTATCACAAGCACCTTCCCAAATCTAGACCTTCATATTGAAGCCTCTCAACTCTTTAATCCTTTCTGAATATAATTGTGCATTTATTTTCTTTAAATGATTTTCCTTTAATATGATCACTGTAGTAAATTAAGGACAGTTTCTGCTGAATTTAGAGATGCCATATTTAGTTGTTCCTCCTTCAATTTAGAAGACAAGTCTAATTTTCCTCCCTTGAGCCTGGGCTGGTTTTAGTGACTTGATTAACCAATTGCAACCAATAGAAGGAGATGAAATGAACTTTCTGGCACTTTTGAACCCAACCATAAAAACTTCTCAAGTCCTTCCTGGGCCTCTTGAAACACTCACCCTCAGTCTCCAGAGTTGCCAGGTAAAAATTATTATCCTTAGACTGCCAAACTATTAGAAAGCCCAAGTTACTTGGAGGGCATGTGCAGGTGCTCCAGTGTACAACCCCAGTTGTCAGCAAGAATCAAATGTAACCATGGGAGTGCACCATCTTGGATGTCAGGCCAATCAACCCCAGCCAGCAGATATCTGATTACATCCACCTGAGAGGCCCCAAATGAGAACTATGCCACTGAGCTTCATCAGCCCACAAAATCATGAGAGAGAATAATGCATTATTATGTGGTCTAGAGCAGAGGCTGGCATGATCCTTGGAAGACGCCAAGGCCTCTTAGTCTTGAGTCCTCCTGGGTGACAACAGTGGAAGCCCATAATCTCAATGACTTATTAATATAAATGACCCAGGATCCAGATAGGACCAGATTTGGGGCAAGAGACCCAAACAGACCTCTGAGTGGGCTCTCAGGAAGGAGCTAAAAGGATTCCATCTCTTG